CTTTTTTTCATACTGCTCATAGATCAGGCAACACCGGTGAAGTTAAGCCCTGCATCCTAACCACCAAACCCCCTAAGCACATCTAACATACAACGTACAGCCCATCCACTCTGCACTCTAACAAGACAACTTAGAACCCAAACCCAGAAAATCAAAAGAGCAACCTACTACGCCATGGAATCCAACAACAACCCAGTCAGCAAGCACCAACCAGTCTCCTTCACCAGCCAACCAACAAACAAGATAAGGAAAAACCCAGAAAGAGCCTCGGCAAATTCCCAACTCACGACAGAGCCCGTATCTAATCAAAGAAAAACGCACGCCATCTTACAAATACAGATCCCAATTCCCAGCTACCCAATCTAACTATGATGCCACTAGTTACCCCTCCGCCGATAGAGTGTTTCATATCTCGTTTCGCCGTCCGACCGAGGCACGGGACTTGGCCGTAAAGACTTCGAACCACCACGTAAGGGGGTTTCGGGCTCGGAATAGGTACCGGTCGCTGCGTAGGATGCCGACAGAATAGTTGATGATAAGAATAATCATTGATCTTGTAATTCGTAGGCAGAGGATATTGCAAATGATGTGATGCCGTGTTCTTTTGTAGCTATTGGTTGTCTGGTTTTGATAGACTTATTACGCAAGCGTGATGCCTCCATCGCGATCGGTCTGTCGCTTGTACCGTCCCCTCCCCTCCCCTCCCCTTAATGGAGAATAGAGGGGTTTTAAAGGTGCGGGTATACAATATGTAATAAGCCGTATTCTGTATACGTGATTCTGGAGATATACCAGAAAGCTGAGGCCTATCTATGAGCCCCCCTTTGTTCTATTCCGAGGGCGGGACGGCATGGAAGTACCAAGTCATAGGGCTGCATCCAGAGTCACTACTTCACTCTTCAACAGCTGCACGGTCGCAAACAACCATCTCAAAGAAAAGGCTAGCCTGGAGTCGTGGAAATAAACCTAAAATATTCCAAAATATCCAGTAGACATGGTAGAAGTAGAACTTTTACTGGCGGTATACTGGACGCTTTGTGAGCACCAATCCAGCGATACCACCGGTACACGCTCAACAGGTCACGGTCGCGTCACAGAAAGCCCGATCGCGACCATAACAAGAATTCTTACAATTAGGAACAGCGCGAGGTAAGTCACGACAGGAATGAATTGGATTATTCGTCATAGAATCTGCATTTCGAATCTATGCCATCCGGTGGCAATTCACGGAGAATACCACTTGGTCAAGTAAAATTTCTTAATGTACATACTCGGATGCATCCCATGAGATCCAATCCATTCAGCCGCGTCGTCGACAGCCTACTATTTATTGTGCAGCAAAACGAAAACTAATCCCAGTGCCGAAACCCATTGATATTCGCAAATGAAAAAACAGAACCCATCATGTATCGCCAGTCGTGAAAAAGAAATAAAACCCCTAATCGCCTACCCAGAGACAACCAGAAAAACCGGACTCATTAGAGAATAATCTAAGAGCGCTCACCACGGAGACGGCGGGCGAGCTGGATGTCCTTGGACTGGATGGTGACACGCTTGGCGTGGATAGCGCAGAGGTTGGTGTCCTCGAAGAGAGAGACGAGGTAGGCCTCAACGGACTCCTGAAGAGCACCGATGGCAGAGGACTGGAAGCGAAGGTCGGACTTGAAGTCCTGGGCAATTTCACGGACCAGACGCTGGAAGGGGAGCTTGCGGATCAGAAGCTCAGTGGACTTCTGGTAGCGACGGATCTCACGGAGAGCGACGGTACCTTTTCATGACTGTTAGTGAAATGCGATATAGTGTGATTTGCCACTCAAGGTGAACTTACCAGGCTTGTAACGGTGAGGCTTCTTGACACCTCCGGTGGAGGGAGCAGCCTTACGGGCGGCCTTGGAGGCGAGCTGCTTACGAGGGGCCTTGCCACCAGTGGACTTACCTGGATGGATGTTAGTGATGATGATTCAAGACGCGATATCACTCTAGGGGGACGCGACCCTGACGCGGGGCGACGACACCACGAGAGAAAGGACGGCAAGGTTAGGACTTACGGGCAGTCTGCTTAGTTCTGGCCATCTTTAGAGATAAGGTTTGATGGGATTAGTCGACTTTGAGATGAAAATAGATAAAAGTCGATGGTTGTCGATGATAAAGTGTTGGCGGATGAGGAGATGAAGGAAGGATGGAGGAGGCGGGTGGGGGAAGGTATTTGTAGTAAGCGAAGGGCGGGTGGTGATCTGATGGCGTTGGCAGCAATTTGGGTGGCCTTAGCGTCCTTTCCCTTTGATCGAAAAAGCGCTCGGAAAGCAGCACACCATAAGCCGTGATTTCGGGGGTCACTTTTCGCTGCAGAATCAAAGGGTTCCCTTGCGGGCGGTCAGGAATCCGGCGCCCAAGGCAGGAATGTATTGTGGCCCGTGCGTTAAGCGAATGACGGACCAATAGAATCGCAGGATCACAGATCCAGCATGTCGCTCTGCCACCTCTTGATCCCAACCACCGGCGGGGTATGTGAATTAATCCAGTAGATCCGAATGATAGTTGGCATGCTCAGAAATGTCTCTGATCTTTTTTGATCCTTGATCTCAGTGGTTGAGAGGCATTCCGTGAGGATCAAAGTTGATCATAGCGGAATCATCACTTCTCGGTCACGTTGCCGACAGATCAAACCCGGCGGGAGGATCCTTGCTGCTGATTGGTCGATCCCCTTGCTAGCGCGTGATTCCAATGCCCTCCCCGCGCTCTTCCTTCTCCTATACAAATATCACCCGTCCCATGGCAGCTGTCCCAATCTTTCCTTTCCCATCTCTCTCTCATCTGTCATCCAATTAACAGCCTACCTCTCCACATTTCCTCACTCAACCTTAAAACCAAGTTAACTCTTAATCAATCATCAATATGTCTGGCCGTAAGTCTTTCCCCTGCAGTGAACATCCAAAGCGCGATCGGGATCAATGATTAACGCGTTTCTCTACAATAGGTGGAAAGGGTGGAAAGGGTCTCGGAAAGGGTGGCGCCAAGCGTCACCGCAAGATCTTGCGTGACAACATCCAGGGTATCACCAAGCCCGCTATCCGTCGTCTCGCTCGTCGTGGTGGTGTCAAGCGTATCTCTGCCATGATCTACGAGGAGACCCGTGGTGTCCTCAAGACCTTCCTTGAGGGTGTCATCCGTGACGCTGTCACCTACACTGAGCACGCCAAGCGTAAGACTGTTACTTCTCTCGACGTTGTCTACGCCCTCAAGCGTCAAGGACGTAAGTTGCCTCTGCTGGTCATCTTTTCCTATCGACCCATGTCTAACATGTCCATCAGGTACCCTCTACGGTTTCGGTGGTTAAATGCTTTCTTTTCTCGCCTTTTGTTTTTAGCCATCCTGCGCGGTCGGCGCGTCGGTTGTCCTTCCGCAGCAGTGACGCGACGGGTTGCTTTTTCGGGTTGGTTTACGGTATGACTGGGACGTTGGGGTGTTATTGATCTTTTACCATGGGTCTCTGGGTTTGCTTTTAACGTATTTTACTTTACTATTGCGCGTCCACTACTGGGTCTGCTAGTGTTCGTGATTGAAATTTCTGTATCATAGCGGCCTTCATGCTATCGGCTGGTACCTCTAGAACCATCGCGTCATGAAAATGCGCGGTCTGGTATGAATACGAACGCTTGAAAAAAAGATGAAAACAATAACGTGATCGCTTGCGTGTCTGTGTAGCTGTCTGCAAACGTTTGTTGTGCGTTGTCCGTTGTCGCGTGTTTACCATACGCGTCAGTGGTGTGTGTGGGACTCAGGCTATGTGGCGACCTGTATCTCCGCGCTTACTGTTTCCACCAGTATGTATGATGATAGCTAATCCTAAGTCACTTTCATTGCTTTGAGTATGGTGTTCTCTTGTAATTATATGTAGCTTGCTCTGTAGCTTACATCTGGACCCTTGACCATTCTGGAAGATTATGGGGTTTATGCGGTTGTACTTGGGTCTTCATCACTCCCAGTGCGACTTCGATACGGCCTCCTTGGAGTGTGCAACGCGTAAAGTGATGTCGTGCTTATGAGTTCTACTCTTATTGGGTATTGGATGTAACTTGGCTGTGTAGGTACGTGAGTAATTGTTTGGGTATATCTGTTGTTGATGTGAGGTATGGTGTACGCACAAGTGGTGGTATGTACCAGTGGTAGTATATATATCTACAGGTATGGCATTGATCTACTTACAATCGAAGTACACACCAATGAATCACCACCAGAGATTAGAGAGTCACAAAAGTATATGAAGCATGATAGTCAGTAGTAAATTATCACATAAAGCCATTAGTTGATATAAAACCCACGCCACGCATATAAGATCACTGAAGTCATGCTTTGAAAGTCACGTTCGTCAGGAGCTCGACATGAGCTTGGGTCGAGTTGAACCCCGGGTAGGGTTGAACCCCCGGCCAGGCCGGTGGCCTGAACCCCCAGGCGAGGTTCGGCCTGCTTCTGTGGATTCAGCTTGGACACCAAACCATTTTAGGCACAATGGATCACGCTCCACGGTACATAAATACAGCCAGAGTACCCCCAAGCTACATCTTAATCCAACAAGGGCCACACTCTGTGTCCGCCTCAGCCCCAACCAGCCAGAACCCTGTCATCATCCTGCTGGCTGGGACAAACTCGTTAAGGTATGCACTGAGCCGCTTCTATTCGATGTGTTCAAATGATGTTTCTGTATAAAACGTATTTGCTACTTCAGAGCCTTACGGCCATGAGACCAACAATCACCTATACCCTGATGAACAACCAACACTTCAATGCTATATTACTGCATCCGCACATGAAAAAAGTGTGTACATAGCTAATCCGAACTGTATTACTAGGTCTAGCTCGCCTCCTGCCACCCCCAGACTGACCACATCGGTCGCCCTGGCTACATTAACACTGTCACCATCTCTGCCCGATTAACCAAGAGACTTGGTACGGGCTGACTTGTGCTGTGTCATGATTAGGTGACATTTTTTTTTTCCTCTTACGCCCGAATCGCGTCCGGAGTACATGCGGCCAGCCTCGACCCACTCAATGCACGTTGGACGAGCAGTTATATCAAGGCCCAAGAGAGATACCACGACACAGATATCCAGCTGAGAACGTGTGGCTTGCTCATCTGATGCCAGGCACTGACCCTCGCCGTTGGAATCATCATCGTACCGCGATCACTCACTCACGCAACGCGAAAATACACAGCCGCGACTCCACCAAGGTACACGTGACGATGCAAAAGCGCGTTGGGTTACTCTAATCCTCACACGTGTCTATGCACCGAAATGCCGTTGTACTGGTAGGCTACACACACTGAGATGCTGTCGCACCGCGCCGGTGGCATACGTAATACCTTGAACGTACTCCTCCCTTAGTATCTCATCGTCTTTAAGTTGAGGTTCCCTCGTACTCGCTAGCTTTTACTGAGGTTCCGGATACGCCTCCATTACAACCGAGGACTCACATACAAGCTCTGCAGAACATTGTTGAACCACGTGTGAGAGACTGCATACCACAGGTCTCGATAAGTCTAACGTGCGCTGCCTCGAAATTCCCCACCAGCTATGCTATCCGGCTGGCTCCCACAACTGTGCCATATCATGGCCATGTACAATGCTCCAAAGGTGCCAAGTTGTCCGCAAATAGCTGAACCTAGCCAAACCGTCACATCCATGGAATGGACATGACCGACCAAGACGTTCTCATGGATAGAGCATCGAGGCAGTTGCGCGAGGTCTTGTGCTGAGTGGTAACGTAGACAGATTGTAAGCAGGCTTGACTATCACTAACCACAGTGACAAACACGGAATGTCATGCCTTGAATTTAGTAAATTTGCCATGTGCTAATGCATAACATAACCTCGAATGACTTATGAGATGCTTCGCACAGAATAGGCAACTGGGCTGGAAGATATAACCTACCTATGGACTCCGCATCCGGCTGTTCCATTCAACCTAGGCATTGGCAGCCTTCTGTCCATCACAAGTAACTAACACGACAAGCATTGTGCCACTGACCTTGTAACAATACGCGTCTGGCTCTTCCACCTTACATAGGGTCTATAAATCTAACTGGGATGATCGCCAGAGTTCATTCTACTATGACTGGACCCGTGCTTATAGAAATAGGCCAGCCAGTAAAGGTGGCCTAGAGAGTAAGCAAATCATGCAGCACACGAAGAGAAACACCAGCACAGAGAAATGGAAGTAACGGGAACAAGAGAATCAATGATGTAACTTCTGATTGCTGAACAGGCTGATTCACACAAATGGATCTGGTACTCTTAAAAGCCGACGCAGTGCTATACTTCTGACTCCGACGACTCCGTAAATGTTGATATGTGTGACGCACAGATCCACATGTAATGGAATATCCCCGTGCCCCAGCACCCCCAAAAGATGGAGGCGTAGTCGTTGATCAGACTAACTGACGCTAATAGCTGATCCAGGACCATTCACTAGGTTCTTGTGAAAGGATGTCAAGATTTTCATAACATACCCAGGCCAGCCTGTCCAAAATCGACATCATAGGGAAAGCTGTTGGCTTGGCACACCCGTCGAAGAGTGGTATTGGGCACACTGCAAAGGTTTGATTCAGTTCCCCATATGCAACTTGTCTTCTTCTAGAGCGCAGTGCGACCAATGTGGACGCTGCCATAGCTCCGAGAGACATACAAGGACCAGAACAACCCGGTTGTGGAAGAAAATGAGTCGCCTTGTCAATCTATCGCAGATAGCGGGCACCGATGCCTGGAACGAGAGTGTACTCTGCAACGACGTTCCATTACCATGCTCACATAGTTCGTCACAATCTCTGGTATTGCTATAGCATATTTTCTGGAAATGGGCGGCTCGGAGATTCATATCCTCAACCCATATATGCATGGGCACGTTGGACCTTGCGCGCATTGGTGGTGAAACCGAGACATGCCCAGGACTGGCAGCATCGAATAATGGATCTTGGAGTAGCTGCGATGCTTATGCATATGAGCCAGTTGGATTGCTTGATGGGACAGAATAGTGGGCCTGCCACAGTGTCGTGAGATCTTGTGCTGAGGTCGCTTCATCCGGACCCGAAGTCACCGCGTGAAGTATGACCGCCGAGCAGAAACCAGAGAAACAGGAAGCTACTCTCCAGTGCATTTGATACCGGATCGGGGACATTGATAGAGAGGGACATTGGGAGGGAGAGTGAGATCCAGGCTAACTTCCCAGAGTACTGCTGTATCCCCGTTCAAGCGGCTAACATGTTCAATATTCCAAGACCCCCGGCACATGGAAGAGCTAACACAACTGCAGGGTCACTGCATGGGCTGCTCGTGATCCCCGAGGTCGGCCGGCATAGGAAGGCACCATGATAGATCAACCTCGAAGCGACAACCTGAGGCGCAGCAGTGGATGCCAAGGGGGACGTTTGGAGGATTGCTTCCGCCTGTGCTGCGGTGAAGCGGTCCTAGTGGGGCTAAATCTTTCATCAATATTAAAGGACCATATACCTAGTTGGCCCTGTGATTAGGGAGCTTGCCGCGGTAGGTTAGCTTTGACTGCACAGTGTCGTTTACTACAGCCATAGCCTAGTTTTGCGCAGCAACCGCATACAGGATCTCCCCGGTCATGGTGAACCTTTTCTAGGCCGTTGGTCTACTGAACTCACTGGCGTACTTTCTGGTCTGGCGTGGAGGCCGTTTTTACTCCCTTTACAGATATCGCAAGTTAGTCACCCGGGGGAGTGGCTCGGCGAGGAACCTTCTTTCATCGTGGCAGAATCGAAACCAGCTTTCCGACGCTCTTCGATATCGATAATCATGGATAGAGTGCTGGAGTCGGACCCTCCAGATGACTGGCGTGGCTGATGTGCAACTACTGAGCAGCACAGGAAACCTAAGCGAAGAAGCGACAGATAGACGACGAGTGTGTTGCTAATTTCTGGATCTGATACTGGATGACGTCTCCATGATACATTTCTGATGGCACGGTGATCATCACAATGGCACCATGGGTGGCTACAAGTACACGTGGATAAATTCTACATCGACGCCCATATGCCCCGAAACAGGTTATGATGTACTAATTTACGTGCTCAGGTCGTCAGAGAGGAGATTTCCCATCACCATAATGATATTGCACATGCTAGCACTTTGAGCAGATTGTTATGAGCCAAACCAATATTTGACAGGCGCGAGTTTCATGGACTTCAGGCTCATTACTTGTTCCTGACATATGAGGAATTCACAACTTGATCGTCACATCCCAATTCTTCAGTGCAAGCAAATGTCACAGATGAAGCTGCCGTGACCGACTGACAGTATCCTATAACGGACACCTATTTTCGTTGGTTTATATAGAATAATTCGCTGCACTACGCGGCAGAGACTGTTTAGCCTGTTCATTCATAGACAGTATGAGGTCTCTATATTAGTATTGTATATGAGCTATCCAAAGCTTTTGTATATCTACATTCGTATATCAATCTCCTATGATCTGACAGCTGGTGCTTTGAGATAGATTGAGGGACATTCGTCACATTCCTATCTTACCCCAAAATAAGTTCCCTCCAGTAATCTTATCCCACTCGAGTTGTGAGAACGATATCCCACATTTCTCAGATTCACTAGGCGAGAAACCCCCGCTGTATCAGATACAGCAGATGGTATGTC